CTTGGTAGCCCAGGCTGGCCTCGAACTCACAGAGATCCGCCTGCCTCTGCCTCCTGAGTGCTGGGATTAAAGGCGTGCGCCACCACCGCCCGGCACAAAGATTGTTTTACAGCAGGACCCAGGTTCAATTCTCAGACCCCACATGGCAGCTCATGACTGTCTGTAACTCCAATTCCAGAGAATCTGACACCCTCACACAGACATGCATGCAGGCAAGACACAGGTGCACATGAAATAAAAGAATATAAAAGAATAAGTGTTATAGCATAGGAAATAGTCCAGGGAGATTATCTACACTATCTCTTTAGTTAGTCTTGTTACTAATGTTGCCTAACTGCAGTATGACATCACTCACGAGAAAGGGCACTAGTACAGCACTCTGATCTTGTTCAGAATTTCAGGCTTTACCTGTAACCATGTGTGAGCATGTGTGTGTTGAATTTTATCACCTACTAGATTGTGTTGAACCAGCCAAGACACTGAACATGGCATCAGAGCACCAAGTTCCTGCTGTCCTTTGTAGCCTTGTGCCTACCCATCTCTGATGATCAGAAATCATCTCATCAGCCATGTTGCCTGGAAACATAGCTGATACTTCACCCTTGTTATGTTCCCAGGGAAATAGCTGCAGAACAAAGCCTATGTTCTGGTCCAGAGAGCAGGTGAAGGGCTTGATTAACTCTGTATACCTGGCAGTAGAAATAGCAGGTCATCACTTAATGCACAGTACATTTGTCATCCTTTAAGTTCGCTGTTGCAGGTGGAATGGAGCCATCAGGAGCTTTGCAGCAACTTTTGAGGGTCTCACCTTGCATGTAGCTCCACTCTGTGGTACTCTCAAGACATGGGACCTAGTCCATAACTGTCCCCAGCTGACCAGTTGTGCTCGTAGCCCTCACTAGTTTATGTTTGTTCCTAGTATGTACACACTGGCTTAAATAGAAAGGGTCTGTGATATTTTAACATTGTGAGTTCCACAATTTATAAGATTTAAAAAAAAATTCTGTGTGGTGGTGTCCCATGCCTTTAATCCCAGCACTCAGGAGGCAGCAACAGACAAATCTCTGAGTTCAAGGCCAGCCTGGTCTACAGAGCAAGTTCCAGGATGGCCAGGGCTGTACAGTGAAACCTTGTCTCAAAAAAACCAAAACCAAATCAAACCAAACCAAAACAACAGCAAAACCAATCCTTCCAAAAAACAAAACACAAACCAAAATATCTAACGCGACAGGAAAACAAAATTGAGCTATATGTTCTTCTTGAGCATCATGGACACAGACCTTCTTGAACTACAGAGAGCAGAGAGTACCTTCTACAAGGTCTTCCCTCCACACATGGAATCTAGACAAGTGTGGACTCCTGGACAACCAGGAGTCAGCATAGTGGAACACGAAGCTTGTGTTTCTGGGTGACAATCAAGGTGACTATCCCAACAGCAAGCATGAAGATCATTGCATGAAGATCCAGGTAGACGTTGCTACCTGGAGGTGGTATACAAGGGAATTAAAGGTGGAAAACACTAAATACTTATTTTATCCAAATATCTGCTGTTTTCTGTTCGGTTTAGGAGTTAAGTGGAGATTTGCAATTAGGAGGAAAAGTGAAAAGAATATCCCAATCAGTTTCACTCTAAAAAACATTTAAAATAATTAAAATTTCCAAAGATATCAGACTGATCCATTGTGTCCTCTTCAGGGATGTGCGGCAGAAGGTCCAGCTCACCATTGCTGAAGCCTTTGGCATCAGCTCATCCTTGTTGTATCTGACAAAGCCCACATTCTTCTCCCGAATAAATAGCACAGAAGCCCAGACAGCTCATGATGAGTATTGGCATGCACATGTGGACAAGGTAAGCATTTGGTAAGTGGGTTCTTTCTCTTGTCTGTGACTAGAATTCTAGGCATCTGCTCTGCAACGTCTCTCGGCTCTATTTTAGACTTCTTTTCCTGGGGTTCTAGGGTGCACTCTAAGTTAGCTGATGCACTTGAGGAAATAGAATTAGTTTTTGTGGGTGTTGAGGGCTGGAATAAAAGGTTTGGTGGCTGCTGGGGAGCACCATGGGCCTTGTGGTGTCCTTTGTTCTATAGTTCCCACAGGATGTCCTCCTTCCATCACAGTGTTTTTCCTTTATTTTATTTTATTTTATTTTATTTTATTTTATTTTATTTTATTTTATTTTATTTATTTATTTATTTATTTTTGTGTGTGTGTGTGTGTGTGTGTGTGTGTGTGTGTGTGTCTCCTCCCTAAGACCTTGTCACTAGCAGCAGCAGGGAAGCCCTGGGGGTTCACTTGTGTCCTTGACCTCTGTCACAGAAGAGAATTCAGGATGAGTAAGAGGGAAGCAAAGTTAGAAAGTTTATTGATGAAGTCTGAAGACAAGATACACTTGAGGAGAGTTGGTGTCAGGAGCCTCAGCAGTCACTGTGAATATGATGTGGGAGCTTTGAAGCCGCTCAATCTGCAGCCATGTTTAGACATTAGGGAAAGTTTATATTGGCATACTTTTCCTTTCTTCTTTTCTTTTTTCTTTGTTTCTTTTTATTTTTTTCAAGACAGGGTTTCTCTATGTAGCCGTGGCTGTCCTGGAGCTCACTCTGTAGACCAAGCTGGCCTCAAACTCAAAGATCTACCTATCTCTGCCTCTCGAGTGCTGGAATTAAAGGCATGTGCCACAGCTGCCTGGCTTCTTACCCACAGAATTTTGTCCTTGAAGAAGAGTCCATTTTAGGTACACTGGACAGACTTGCTGCTAGAGAAGGCAGTACTACTAGAAATAAAATGTTCATGTGGGGATGTGGCCCAGTTGATGGAGTACTTGCCTAGCAAGAATGAGGCCCTGGATTCAATTCCCAACATCGTGTAGACTGGACAGGATGATGCATGCCTGTAACCCTAGCACCTGGGGGGTGGAAAAGCAGAGTACCAGGAGTTCAAGATTACATTCAGCTACATAGAGAGTTTGAGTCCAGCCTGGGCTACATGATACTATCTCAAAACAACACAAAGACAACCAACACCATTCATTAAAGGGCTCCTTATTACTATGTAGATCACGTGTAGGCAGGTCTCATAGGGCATACTTCATTAGCCATTTTAATAATCGTAATTTGTGATGTTTCTCAGAAAGTGGGTATCATTATTTTGCAGGTGGTCTGGTTAGTAATATAAAAATTCCTGGGGTGTCAGTCTGTGAGAAATGGAAATCAGAGCAAAAGAGAATGAGGAGCCCTCTTACTTCTTATCTCCTCTCTGTTTCCTAACTTGTTATCTGCCTTGGTTAGTTCAGCCCTGCTGAGATTTCTCAGCCCCTGTAGGCCAGTTATCCCCAGGCACTGACATTAACCTTCTCTATGAAGGTCTCTTCCCTCTGTACTGTGGACAGCTGGTAAGGACTCCTGTCCAGCACACAGTTCTCCTAACAGTGCCAGGTGGCTGCCAAGATACTATGAGAAAGTGGAATGCCATCCCTTCCATGCCACAATCTGCCCCCACCTTTTTCTTTGAGTGTGGTAACTGGTAACTGTGTGGTTTAGGAGGGTCCTTTGCAGTAGGTGAGGGTAGGTTGAAGTTTTTAAGGAGAACAGGGCAGGGATCCTGCATCCTCTCATGCTTCCTGGTGCTGCTTGCTCTGCCTGGGTCTTTTGATGCTTGTTGTGGTTCATCGTTGCTTTTTCAAGACAGGGTTTCTCTGTGAAGCCCTGGCTGTCCGTGAACTTGCTCTGTAGAACAGGCTGGCCTTGAAATCACAGTTCTCTGCTTCCAGAGTGCTGGGATCAAAGGCATGTGCCACCACCACCGGCTCATCTTTGCTTTCTTTGAGTTTCACTGCTGAAGCGACTGGAGTCAGTGCCCTGTTGGCTTACAGGGTTCATGTTACCTTGGTATTAGCCTAGGGGGCTGATGCTGGATTGGGGAACACTCAGCTCATGACATCAAGCTAGATCCACCAATAGAGACTGATACCCACAGACAAGTCTTGCATCATGTTCTGTTGAGTTTCAGGAATATTTTTCCACGCCCCACTGGCCTGCTCACTTTTGAGGGCTTGCTGCTCACTCCTGGACATTTCTATCCCTGTTAGGAGATGACCATTGTTATGGCGACTGGTTGGGGCACAGAAGCAGCAGAGGAGAGCAGGGTTTGGACTTGCTCAGGAGGTGTTGGCCTTGTGCTCTTCCTTAGGCTCCTGTTCTCATAGTGCTGACAGGGCTGATCAATCACTTGATTCTGTCCTTAAACTCGGGATACAGGCAGTGGGAAATTGAGGATGGCGTGGGAGGGTGGTGGTGGCTTAATGCTTGTAGCTGGTCCTTGGAGCCTCATTATTCTTACCTCTTAGCACAGACTTGCTAATTGAATGATTCATCAGACTGGAAAGTATTCTAATGTGATTGAAATTCTGTGCACGTCTTACATCACTGTCTTTGTGGCACATCTCACTAGTTACCTTTATTAACTAGATGCTGATTTGTGAGTGTTCTCTCTGACATCACTTGGAAACAGCTCTGCATGTGGCAGGTGCTTGCCTGCAATACAGGGCACTGGAAACTCCTTGTAGCACCTGTCACATGCAGTATGTTCTGAGGATCCTCCAAGTAGCTACTCAGAAATGGCGGTGATACCTGGCTTCTGGTCTCTGAGGAAACTGAAGCTCTGTCACAGCACCTTTGTATAGACCCAGCAGCAAAGGTCAGAGCCCAGAGCTTTCCAAGACCCCATGCATTCTCCCCAAATCACGTCTATATGAAGAGGCTGCTGGTGTGCTTCTTGTAGGAGCTTGAACATACTTCTTATTTCATGAACTATGTACCGAGGAGCCCCTTGAGTGAGTGTAGGTTTGCGGGCACCAGCATAGACATGACAAACTGAGGAGACTTCTGGCCCTGCAGTGGAGTCTCTCCTTTTAGAAGCTTAGTTGCCAAAATCATACCTTTTTCTCCTGGTGTGTTCTTCCAGCCTGGGGATGGTCCTGGATACTGTACCACTGTTTGCTTCTCTGTCGTCACCTGTAACCCTCCGGTGACAGTTGCCGCTTTCCCACCTACAGTGTCTTGCCTTGCTCATCCGGTTCCTAAACTAACCATGACCAGCCTAAGAAAACGTGTACACATCTTTTTCTCCTTTTTTGTTTTGTTTCATTTTGTTTTGTTTTGAGACAGGGCTTCTTAGTATAGCAGCTCTGACTATCCTGAAACTCAGCTTTGTAGACCAGGCTGGCCTCAAACTCATAGAGACTGGCCTGTGTAGCATGAATCTTAGATGGTCCTATTAATAAAATCAAACCCAGGACCAGGTATTGGGGTGAATGCTGGAAGATCAGAGAAGCAGAACAAGCCACAGCCACCTCACTTTGCCAATTCCTCAGCTGATCCTGTTTCCTCAGACTGGAAGCCTCTGAGTCCTCATCCAGAATGAATCTCAGCTGAACTGTTGCTCAAAAGCCTAAAAGCTTAACCAGCTCTATCTAGTTCCTGGTCCTCATTCCTTATATACCTTTCTGCTTTCTGCCATCACTTCCTGGGATTAAAGGCTCACTTCCTGGGATTAAAGGCGTGAGTCACCATGCCTGGCTGTTTCCAGATGGATCTCTTTCTCCCAAGTGATAGGATTAAAGGCGTGAGTGCACCATTTTCTGGCCTCTATATCTAGTAGCTGTTCTGTTCTCTGACCCCAGATAAGTTTAATAGGATGCACAATATTTTGGGGAACACAATACCACCACAGGCCTGCCTCTACTTCCTGAGTGCTGGGATTAAAGGTGTGCACCTCCACCACCCAGCTTCCAGCTTCTCTCTCTCTCTCTCTCTCTCTCTCTCTCTCTCTCTTTTGAGACAGGGACTCATTGTGTATGCTTGGCTAGCCTGGAACTCATTATATAGACCAGGCTGGTCTTGAACTCACAGAGATCTTCCTGTATCTGCCTCCCAAGTGCTGGAACTAAAGACATGCATCACCATACCTGGCCATTCTTATTTTCTTATTTGGTGCTTGGGATGGAATCCAGGACCTAAAACATCCTAGGAAAGCTCTGGTTCAGTGAGAACATCCCAGCCTCTCAGTGATGTTTCTCTGTATGCATTTTGTGGGGTTTGTTGTTTCTTATGTATATGAGTGTTTTGCTTGCATGTGTGTATATGTACCACATATATGCCTTATGCCCCTGAAGGTCAGAAAAAGGCATTAGATCCCCTGGAACTGGAGTTACAGATGGTTATGAGCTTCTATATGGGTTCTGGGAGCCAAACTTGGGTCCTCTGGAAGAGTAGCCAGCACTCTTAACTGCTGAGCCATCTCTCCAGGCCCTGTGTGCAGTTTTTTTAATTGTTATTTTTAATTGTGTGTGTGTGTGTGTGTGTGTGTGTGTGTGTGTGTGTTTGTGTAATTGTATGTTTCATGCACACATGAAAGATTGCAGGTGCCTGTGGAGGCTGGAAGAGAACTTAGATCCCCCAGGGCTATAGTTACTCGCAGTTGTAAGTGACTGATGTGCATGCTGCTGGAAACCAAACTCAAGTCTTCAACAAGAGCAGCAAGCACACTTAACCACTGAGCTGTCTCTCAGCCACCTCTATGTACAGTTTTAAATGCTTTTGAAAGCTTTAAAATGGTTTTTCTGGTGCTTGGTTACTGCTTGGTGGCATTGTGAACATAGTTACTACATTTGGAGAGTTTGGGGCCATTATTTCTTTAAATAGGTTTTTCTTCACTAACCTTTCTCTTCTTTTCATGGGACTCGGTGACAGACTATCAGTACGTTAGGTACTCTCCCAAGGCTCCACTTCCCTAGTTCTCTGTCCTCCAGATGTACTCTATTCCTCTGTCCAAGGCTTTTACGTACCTCCTTCT